TGGTCGGGCGGCGAGCCGCCCGCGTTTCCCTTATAGCCTGTTCCTAGGGGGAGTGGGGCGGGGGTCCAGGACCCGGAGAAGGAGAGGGAGGGGAAGAAGAAGGTGAGAGGGAGAGAACAAACGTCAACTGCCGGGCAGCGCCATAGTCCCGGGGAAGGGAGCAGCCGGCCGTCGGTGCCGCACCGAAGCGCTGCGCTTTGCAAAAGGAGGGAAACAACCGCCGCGCCAGGATTCCCTCACGCTGCAACCGACCCATTGGGCAAGAGGCCCAGCCGCGTACTCGGGCTACAGCCAATGAGAGCACAGCACCGCCCACGCCACAACATCCGTTGGCTGGCGGGCCCTCGGCTGCACCCAATTGTAACGCCGCACAGATCCCGCAAAGCCCACTGGCTCGGCCACCTCACGCGTCGTCCAATCAGAGAAGGGGACCGCACACCTCAGCCACGCCTCCGTGAGTTGGAGGGGCACGCTGTGGCCCCGCCTCTCTCAGGCCACGCCTCCAGAAAAGCCGGGCGCTAATGAGCGAGTCTGGTTAAGCGCTGCTGGGATGGAGCGTTGGCTGGGGCAGCTGCGGGATAGGAGAGTAACTGATCTGGGGATCCCCCAAGGCCAGTTCTTGGGGCTCGCCTGCCTTCCTGATAGGGCTGCAGAACAAGGAGCCGCTAGTTCCAGCTGCAGGGGTTACCTAGCTCCCTAACACAGTGCGAGGCCGTACCTGGGGGTAGGAGCATCTGGTGCCTACGATGGGAGGGGTGCAGAGAAGAGCCGCGGGGAAGGGAGAGGGCATCCCATTTTGCAATTAAAATTTTGGCAGGGGCACTGGGGAACTGTGAATAGGGTGACCTTTCTCTGTTGTATAGGAGCTTCAGAGGAGTAGCGGAGTTAGTCTGTAATTGGAAAAACTTGAAAAACAACGAATAGTCTAACAGCATCTTAAAGACTAAGAAAACATGTAGATGGTATCATGATCTTGCGTGGGTACGACCCCCTGAAAGAAGTGGGTTGTGCCCACAAAAGCTCATGATACTGTCTACATGTTTTGGTATAGGGACTGTCTTCTGTTGTATAGGGACAGTCCTAATTTTCAGAGGTTTGTTCTATATAGGCACCTATTTCCCTGCAACCTTGGTGCTGCTCATTTTTTACATTTGCTATCTGATCACCCTGGAGGGGAACCCCCTATCTCACCTGCATGACAGAGCTGTGCAGAACTCACCCCACTGCCTCCAGGGCTTGCCTCAGAGAAGTACTATTATTATTATGTATATTAATTTTATTCCAGTAGCAATCAGTGCCATCAGTCAGTTGAGTGTTCAGCAGAGTACAAACAAATCAGAGAAGACCTTGCCACTAGCCTAAAGGTTTTACAATTTAAGGGGCAGGTGGCAGGGAGAGGGACAGATTCATTCAGCTTCCTAATAATGTTAATCTAACACTGTTAGGATACATTCCTGGATACATCTAACACTATTAGGATATATGGCCTGGATGCATTCCTTTGTGGCTTATCTCAGCTATAAAATGAGAATAATACCCCCCCACCCATTGGCATTGGAGTATTGGGAAGAATAGTTCATTAATGTTCTTGCAAGACAAGAGTTAAATCTTACTACCATCATTATCACTTGTTGCTAGAAACACAGAGGCTACGTTTACACTATGAGTTTTCTCGACAAAAAATTTGCTATTGAGGGGCTCAGTTGCATGAGTTGCAATCTCATTTGCATATTTTTCAGCCGATCCATTTTTGCACAAGGGGTTTTTGCGCAAAAACAAGCGGTGTGGACATTTTCTTTGGTTTTGCGCAAGAAATATGCAAGTGAGGCTTAGCGTGGAATATCACCAAGCCTCATTTGCATAATTAACGAGCGGCTGCTTTTTGCACAAGAGGCTTTTGCACAAAAAAGAGCCATCTACCCTGCTCCTTCTTGTGCAAAACCCCCCTCTTGCTCAATACTGTTCTTCCTGAAAAAAATATTTTTTGTGCAAAACCAGTACAGTGTAGACAGCCTTTTTGTGCAAAAATCCCTTTTTCTGCAAGATTGGTATACCTCCTTTTTTGGGGCATAAGGATCTTGTAGAAAAAGGGGGTTTTGTGCAAAAAGAAAACATCCACACTGCGTGTTTTTGCGCAAAAACCCCTAGCGCAAAAATGGATCGACAGAAAATATGCAAATAAGACAGTGACTCATGGAAATGAGTCCCTCATTAGCATATTTTTTGCTGAGAAAACTTGTAGTATAGACATAGCCAGAGAGCATGATTCCAAAATATAACGCAGATGTGAGCAGAAGCAAAACTGAAATCCATAAATCATCATAATGTAAATGTACTCCTCTTCCAAAATAGGTACTGAGTTAATCAGTCTGTAAGGCAGTCTTAACTCTTTTCAAGAGTCTTTTAAATATATACATTCAGACATGACTCTAAGAAAGCATAAACGTACATTTTGAATAGCAGTCCACACATCTATCAGAGAATTCCATTGCAAATATGCTTAAGAACGTTTCCTCCACAGCTATCCCAGCAATACTCATATGATTGAGTTACTACCAAACAAATGAATTTACCAATTCAGTTCAACAGGAGGAAAAACATGGAACTCCTAATTCCCAAGATAGCTGCAAAATTGTATAATCCGATCTACAGTAACTCTTAAATTGCACCCCAAACAGAGCATAGGTTAAGCAAGAACAGAAGGAAGCCAAAAACTGCCCAGAACTCAAAGTTAGAAGAAAAGAATGAACACTTGGTACAAAATTAGAAAAATCCAATGAAAAGTTTCAAAGCCAAAAATATTTAGTTAGAAGTATTATAACTGAGGCTGGACCACCAGAAATAACACAGTAAAACTGTTTTTATTACTGGTCTTGAAAAAAACATGGTGCAGCTGCAGTTCTCAGATAATCATATGATAAATGTAATGGGCAGGGTTTTGTTGTTGTTTTGATACCAGAATGACACCCACTGTTTTCAAAATGTGCAACATGTAACAAAGGTGACAGCAGCATAGCACTTTCTGCATCTTGGGATAACATTTGTGCTGATTTATGTCCTGTGAAACCAGTAAGATTGTTAAATGAACCCTCAAGTACACTAGCACTTTGACCAGGAAGCAGGCATGGTTTAAGGTGTTTAGCTCCTATAGAATCAGAGTTAGAGAGGTCCACAAAAGTCATATACAGGCAGTCCCCGACGGCTGCGGGTTTGCTCCCGGTGCCCCTGGTCTGCTGGAGACGGTCCCCAGCAGACCAGGCTTTTGTTGTGGACCCTGGGGCAGAGCAGCTGGGGTGCTGCCGGGTTGGTCCAGTAGTGCCCAGAGCGGCACTGCGGGACCAACCGGCAGCGCCTCAGCTGCTCTGCCCCAGGCGTCCCCAAGTCAGCCGTTGCTGAAACTGACCAGCAGCGGCTGAATCAGGACGCCTGGGGCAGAGCAGCTGGGGTGCTGCCGGGTTGGTCCAGTAGTGCCCAGAGCGGCACTGCGGGACCAACCGGCAGCGCCTCAGCTGCTCTGCCCCAGGCGTCCCCAAGTCAGCCGTTGCTGAAACTGACCAGCAGCGGCTGAATCAGGACGCCTGGGGCAGAGCAGCTGGGGTGCTGCCGGGTTGGTCCAGTAGTGCCCAGAGCGGCACTGCGGGACCAACCGGCAGCGCCTCAGCTGCTCTGCCCCAGGCGTCCCCAAGTCAGCCGTTGCTGAAACTGACCAGCAGCGGCTGAATCAGGACGCCTGGGGCAGAGCAGCTGGGGTGCTGCCGGGTTGGTCCAGTAGTGCCCAGAGCGGCACTGCGGGACCAACCGGCAGCGCCTCAGCTGCTCTGCCCCAGGCGTCCCCAAGTCAGCCGTTGCTGAAACTGACCAGCAGCGGCTGAATCTGGACGCCAGTTCCGACTTACATACAGATTCAACTTAAGAACAAACCTACAGTCCCTATCTTGTACGTAACCCGGGGACTGCCTGTAGTCTAAACTCTGCCAAGAGGGGCATTGTAGTCCTGAATCTTAGCTAAATTAAACTAAACAATTTAATAGGGGAGGATATAGAATGTGGTCATTGATGAAGGTCTGTGGATGGCAGTTGGAATTTGTCACTTGGATTCCAACAGGCAGTTCTTGGATTCCCAGGTTCTGGAAGATTTGCAGAAAAGGGAGAGAGACTATAGAAGGCAAGGGGTAGTGTAAAGCTATACCCTCTTTTTAGTGGCTTTTTTCTATTCCTCCTTCAGACCTCTCAGTGCACTTATTTTGTACATTGTAGATGATTTTTTCAATAGCACTTCTGTGATTTAAGAGTGCAAGTCCCATGAACTCTCAGTTGGAAAGTCTTTGGGACTTTTACTTTTTGGATTTTGACTTTTGAAAATCCTGTTCTATCTAGGTACATATATAATTCCCATCATTGTACTCTCTGAATTCCTCCTAAGTATTTGAAAACAGAAATAATGGTCTCTTTCTCTCTCTTCCCTCCTAGACTGTGGGGCTACATACATCTACACTGGCAGCTTCTTGCACAAGAACAGTCATTCTTGTGCAAAAACTTGCCTGCTGTCTATACTGCACGTGTGTTCTTGCGCAAGTAAATTTACAGTATAGTGTTGTAAAACAGGGCTTCTTCCAGAAGAGTTACTCCTCTCCCCATGAGAAATAAGCCCTCTTGCGCAAGAGCTCTTCCACAAGAGAGCAGTGTAGACAGGCAACATGAATTTCTTGCGCAAGAAGCCCCTATGGTTAAAATGGCCATGAGAGCTTTCTTGCACAAGACAGCGTCCACACTGCTATGGATGCTCTTGCGCAAAAGCACATCTCGTGCACAAAAGCACATGGAAGTGTGGACGCTCTCTTGTGGAAGATTTTTTTCACAAGAACTCTTCCTCAAAAGAGTTCTTACGCAAGAAGCTGCCAGTGTAGATGTAGCCTAGGAGAATGCCAACTCAAACCAAGTCATACTACTTTCCTACTTATACTCACCCCCATTTTCCCAGCAATTTACATGCAGTCTAGGTACTTATATAGCCACCATCACTGTAGTATTTAAGCATCTAAAATAATTAATTTATCCTCTCAACGTCTCTCTCAGGTCGGGAAATACAATACCAATTTTACACATGGGGAACTGAGGCACAGAGAGATTAATAAGTGACTTGTCACACAAAAAGTTGTGGCAAAGTCAGACCATAGCATTATCACAGTGTTCTTGAACCCTGAACAAGTCCTCTGTCTTAGGGTATGTTTACACACCATCTAGACACCCATGGCTGGCCCATGAGCCAATGGGCCTCTGGGCTGTGGGGCTATTTCAGTGTTGTGTAAACTTCTAGGCTCAGACTGGAATCCAGGTTCTAGGATCCTGCGGGGTAGAAGGGTCCCAGAGCTTGAGATCCAGCAGAGCCTGGAAGTCTACACAGCAATGAAACAGCCCCACAAGCCTGAGTTGGCTGTCATGGGCCAGCTGTGGGTTTTTCTTTGCAGTACAGACATATCCTTAATAACCACAGCACCATCTTTGCTTTCTTCACCCTCCTATTTGCATTGTTTGAATATGGGTGCTGCATTGACCATTCTGGTAGGCCAGGTTACAGGGGCTTAAGCATAACTGAAGGCAGGATTTGATCCTCAGGGTACTTGATTACATTATGCTTTTTATCATTAAACTATAGCAAGGATGGCTGGTTTTGTGGTCAATGCACAGGGTTTTTTACTAGATTTGGGATCTGGTAATTTTTTAGGGTCACTCTTCTGAAGGGGGACGGGTTGATAATTCTATCAATGTGCTGCTTGTGTCACTTGTGTTCTCATATGGAGCTCTATTTTTTTCTTCTGCTAGTACGCTCCCAATGGAGCTATCATGCAGGACCTAGGTTCCCCAGAACTGGGCTCTTCCCACCCTAGAATCAGATGAACACACACAGAGACACTGCAGAGACATACAGCAAGTGGAGGAACCTTGTGCAGTGAATACAGAAGCCAAATGTCCCACAGAGTGCCCAGGAGATACCTGTGATCCACTGTGTTAAATGCCTTGTTCTGGTAGAAGAGCAGAGGGCAAGAGCTAGACCATTCCTACACACCAAATGGAGACGATCTCAATCCAGAGAGTTTCAGAAAAATTGACTGTCTTAGGACAGTGTAGGTCTAGTTGGGGTGATTTATCTCCACCAGCACAGACTTTAGCTGTAGCAAGATGGTTACAATCTTACAGTATGTGCTGAGTAGCAATACTGGACACCAATTTCTCAGGTCCCAAAGGGTCTCTATTCTTTGACAGCAAGGTAAGTATAGCTTACCTGTATGAGAAAGGGAGCACTCTACTCACCATGGTTTTGGCCCAAATAGTGACAAGGTATAGGCTAAAGACATCCCAGAACATGAGTCAGCACACTGAGGTCCAGGGATTTGTTCATGGGCATCAGTCAGAAAGCTAGTCCCCCACTCTGACTATACTGTTTCATCTGTAGCTCCTTCATTGATTTCTGCTGAGTTAATCTGCATTTATAATGGTGTGGCTAAGACTAAATTTTGTCCAACTGTCTTCACAGAGTAGATTGAGTCATTCTGTGGCCCTCTGTGAAGTTGTTTGAGAGAGCAATGGGTTTATAACAGAATAAGCAAGCATAATTAGGGAGCAAACAAAAGGCAGTCTTTTAAAGATTATTTTCAGTTAACTTCTTGACTCTGACCTTAGTTCAGTATTCCAATGGCTTGAGGAACGAAAGATGGAGGCAAAAATTGAACAGTATATAAAACATGGGGACACACCCAAAATGACCATTGAAATAATTGGTACTCAGAGTGAGTAGGGGTGTCAGATTTTGATCTTGTGTCAATAGGGACTCACAAAAGAAACCACATGTAAAATATTTTAACAGACAAACATGGAATTATCTATTTCAGGATCTCAACATTGTGTCTATAACAAACAAAAAACCCAAAGAAAATAAAAGCACGGAAAGGGCAGAGTGGTAATTCCTTACAACTGCAATTAGGATGAAGTCCATGTCATCTCTAGTTGCTGGAGAGAGACTGCTTGCTGTTCTCAGACTTTGGTAGCAGCTCCACTGACTGGCTCCAATCTGAAGAGGTATTTTTCATTCCTGAATACTTGGTTTATGGAACACAGTGCAGTGTGTACAGACCCACATAGCAAGCACAGTCTCTCTCCAGCAACTGTGCAAGGAGAGCACAGTCTGTCTCCAGCTACCAGGCATTTGGGATTCACACAAATAACAGTTCTGAGTCCCCTTCTTTGGCCTGCTCTGATTTTAGGCCCCAGTTCTGCAGATGGCTGCAATGGGACTCAGCAGAGGTGAAGGGAGCTGCATGCATAGAGCTCCTTACAGCACTTAGACCATAAACTTCTGTATCATGTAATGAAAAGCCAGGATCCAGACAGACACCCTGCCTATTCCAGAGTCCCTCTGCAGTGCACTGGAGTTTGGTAAGGACATTAGGGTGGATGCTCATGAATTAGTCTGCTCACATCTTGTGAAATCAATGGAATTTAGAAACCTAACTCCTTTTGACTCTGAGTGGATTAAATAAGGTGGGAAATTATAATTAAGACAGATAAATAGTATTCAAAGCACCAAAGATAAAATAGGTTTTGCATTCTATAACAACCTACCTTACAGAACACTGAAAACTAATGGGCAAATAAGACAGAGGCTGTGAGATATGAATGACAGAATATTAAAAAAGAAAAAAAACAAAAGTGCAAGAAAAAAGGGGATAAAGTGGGAGGAGTAACACAAGCAAAGGTGAGGAAGATAAATATGGTAATTGGGTAATTGTGTCACTATATAAAAATGCTTGTGGCTGATGGTTACTCTGTTTTCTGAGTGAGACTGCTTGAATTAAATTGTGAGTTTATTTTCATTCTACTTTTTTGTGATTTTTTTGGTTTGTTTTTGGTAATCTGTGTTACCAAAATGCAGGTGCCACTGTGTGGATTCTGTCATCTATAGCTCTCTGTGAAGGTGTTTAAAAGAGGAATGAATTTATAACAGAATAATCATGTATAATTAAGGAGTGAACAAAAGACAGACTATACTGTGTGTTTAAGGGCTATTTTCAACTAACTTCTTGTCTATGATCCTACTTCAGTATTGCTATATTCATGTTTTTATATATACTAGTGAGCATATAAAACTAATGGTGACTTGCTTTCATTATTAAAAGCTCTTGATTGCAGTTTTAAAGGGTGTTGTCTCTCATTCTCACCCTAGATGGGAAGAATAGGTTTCTCTGAGATATGACCTTTGTGATAGGATTCCCCCCCCCCTTAACATGGCTATATTATCTTCTGAGGAGCTTTGTGTTTCCAAGCATATAATCTGTTCTGTTCCTTTCTAGGCAAACCATATTAGGTTTCTCTTCTAGAGGCATTATGTTTAGAACTATTTCTTACAATCTTGTAGGGTTTTTTTTAATTTGCTCGGTAACTGTTAGATAACAATATTTTCTTGCTTATATCAGTAAAAACTATATTTTTGTAAACTTCATTTCAATATGTGTAATCCCCAAACGTTCATCTGACTTAGCTGCCTTCTGAGTATCTATTAAAGTAATTCCTTTTAAACTCATTTTAGGAACTGGTTTTTGTGTGAAGTGGCCCCTTGGCTCCAGCGTTCTTTTTGTGGCAAGATCAACAAGATTTCATAACCACCTTGTGTCAGGAACCTACTGACAGACACAATGACTGAGTTCTTGATTTGCTTTAACTGGTGCATTGGAGAGCAACCCCAGCCAGTAAGTAAATATAAAAGTTGGATTTTCTTTAAGATGGTTTTGAATTATGGCTGTGTCTACTTTGGTGCGATCTTACACTTTTGCGCCAAAACTTGCTGTCCGTCTACACTGGCTGCGAGTTCTTGCGCAAGAACACTGACGTTCTAATGTATAAAATCAGTGCTTCTTGCACAGGAACTATGATGCTCCCACTCAAGAAGAAGCCCTCTTGTGCAACTGTTCTTGCACAAGAGGCCAGTGTAGACAGGCAACATGAATATCTTGCGCAAGAAAGCCCTAGGGTTAAAATGGCCACCAGAGCTTTCTTGCGCAAGAGAGCGTCTACACTGGCAAGGATGCTTTTGCGCAAAAGCATATGCCAGTGTAGACGCTCTCTTCTGGAAAAGTTTTTGCACAAGAACTCTTCCGCAAAAGAGTTCTTGTGCGAGATCATGCCAATGTAGACGTAGCGTACGAGAATTTTTATCTCTCTTGTAGCCTTTATTCTTGTGATCAGCTACATTAAGGAAAGCAAAGTATAAAAACTGATGGGGGGTAGGAGGAATCTTACTTCTAGTAAAACACATGCTTTCTACCAGGAAATCTAATATAACACTAATTAGAGTTGCTATTCTCTAGCTGCTTAGGGAATTAATAGTCTAACTTGCATTGGTGTTGTCAGCAGAAGCACCTGTAAGCTTTCTCAACTGAAAAACAATTGCTCAATTCTTATTCCACAACTAGGATGTAGCTTCATGAAGACTTAGCATAGGCTTCACAAAGTAGGAGGTTGCAGATTCTAATGAACCATGACATGGATATACTCAAAAACAATCCTGAATGTGATATTCTGTAAATATGTGATGGAAGTGACAACAACTACACCCAGTGAATTAGGGAAAGTGTTTGTAATAACTGTGTGTGGGGCTTGGTTTTTTTTTTTTTTTAAAGGTTTGTGGTAAGAAATGTTGACAAGAACTCTGGAACCCTTAATATAGCCTTCAGATGCCTACCTATGGGCTACTAGTGGAGAATAGGAGGGAAAACAAGGGTATATAGGTACCCTTAAAATGTGGAGTCTTGGGGAGGAGTAGATTATTTACTTCTGGTATAACTGATTGATAACTGAATGCTACTGAATCTCCTAGCTGCAGTTTTAATACTCAAAGTTGTTGTGTGTTGCAGCAGCCTCTAGGTATGACACACCCATACAACTATGCACAACTCTTCTAATGTGTATCATTTAAAGTTCAGCCCCAGACTGGGTTTGGGGAAGAGCACTACAGAAGTCTTCTATGTTGTCTGATAACTAATCCTTGAGACAAATGTGTCTTCCTTACACTTGTGATTTTTTTTCTTTTAATTGTAAAAACAAATTATTAAAAATACCAACTTTGCAAAATTCCTCCTGGGCTTATAAGATGGAAACTCTGCAGAGCAAATTCTGCGCACAGTGACTAATGGCCTTCAATGGCCTTTGCATAAGTTTCCATAAGTTTTGAAAAATCTCGCACAGTGACTAATGGCCTTCAATGGCTTTGCATAAGTTTTGAAAAATCAAAATTTTTGATCCAGGAGAAGGACAAGAACTGGCTTATGCTTAGCTGTGCTGCCTCTTCAGTGCTTAAAAAGTAAAAAAGCAGTGAACTTGTCTCCAAATCCCTGAACCTGGATCTCTGGGTAGCCTCTTGTGCCTCTACAGAGGCACCCCTGATTTCTCTGGGGCTCCCATGCATACAGAGTTCTAGTTTTGGGGGAGGGGCTTGTTTAGCAGACTGGACTCAGAATCAAGGACCAGATCTAAGTTTAAAAGGTGCAATTTAGGGTCTCCAGAATAATACGGTTCTTCAAATATTGGAGTGTTCCAATGACTGATACTATCTTTGACTCTTTTACTCCAAAGATAAACTGCCTTTGAGGTATGGCTACTGTTTTAAGTGGGGCCTGTGACTATAGAAAGCATTTAGTCATGTAACTTGTCTGTAGCTGTCCTGCTAATTCAATAAATGTCACAGGGAGTCTTAGTGTTACTAAACTGATTTTTAGTATCAGACTAAAACCAAGTGGAAACTGCAGAGGCAGTGTCTACTCTAGTCTAAAACACCTGTGTAAGTGCCTATCTTTCTAGATGCCTCCGATGTAGTCATTCTCTTAATAAAGGAACAGATTTATGTTGCTAGGAAAAAAGCTTTTTAGTACTTGCTTCATATCCACTGCTGACAAATAGAGATTCATGCTTCAGCAAAGAACTTTAATGTGTTCTGCTTTAAAAAAAAAAATCTGAAATGTGTTAATACATCTGTTCTGCTTCCCCTAGGAGTCAATGGAAGGTCAGTATTGAGGAGTTTCTTATCAACTTGGTGATGGTTTCCAGACACAACCTTGATTCTGTACATGAAGGATTTTATCTATAACTTAGAATTTTTTCCCTCTTCTCTCTTAAAGAAGAGACGTCGGAGACTAGACCGAAATATGATAGGAGAACCTATGAACTTTGTCCACACTGCCCATGTTGGAACAAGAGATATGAATGGTGGCTTTACATCTGTAAGTATGTGCTCATAAAGATGAGTAGAAATGTACCTCACTGCAAAGATAAAATATTTTCTGTAGTTATAGGCATCACTTTCTAGAAGAGAATGACTATGGCAGGACAGTGTCAGGACGGACCATAGTTGTCAACATCCTAGACACTCAAAATAGACTTAATTTAACTCACTTGACACCAGTTCTTAGCACCTGCTCATTCAAGACACTGGAGTTCTGGTATATATGATCTGGGAAATGGATCATGATCTAATAATACTCAGCTCTATTCTTCTGTCACTCCACTGAAGTACAAGGACTAGAGCACCATGGTGCTCATCTCTTCTTTGTCATTGATACTCTGGATACTGACATCCCTCTGTATGTGGGTAAACATGTCTTGCTCATTAGAATTAATGTTTGGAATGATTTTTCCTCCTTCACCGTTGTCAAATCAAAATCTTAAACTGGACTCTACTAACCTACTGTATGCTTCTTCTCTAGGCTGTATCCATTCACGACCATATGAAGTCAAAAGGTGGCTATACAAATGGTACTCCTGCAAGTGCACAGCCATAGAAAACTGGAAAGGAGACTGATGTACCAGTTTTTGGTATGCTCTACCCTCTGGGGAGCTTCCTACATTTCTATAAAGGCTACGTGAGTTAACTGATTGGGGGAGGAGGGGCAGAGAGGGAACTCAAGCGTTATTATGCATTTATTCAGGTTTAAATTTTCTTTGTAGAATTGCTTCTATACAAATGTATGGGGGCTAATATAATTGCCAGCCTGGGATGGTGATGGAGCAGTTTCCATTTGGAAGACACCACCCCTCCCAACCCTACTCTAAAGAACTTTAGTATTGGACTGCATGACCATTTGGTAGGCATTGTTACTGGTTTACAGCCACTTGCATAACTTTTTTTTTGTTTTCTTTTCACAGAATCTGATCATATTGGAGGACTTCACTTGTTCGCACTAATAGTAAAAGAGAGCCTACTGGGGAATGGAGTATTTCACTGCAGTGTTTCTCTAAACCTAATAGTTAAATGCTCACATTCTAATTCCATTAGCTTTGCTGGAACTGTGCACAGGTGTTGCCTTTAACTTTTATAAATCTTGAATTTTTCTGTCTTAAAGCCCAGTGAAGTCTCAACACATTTGTGTTGGATACTTGTACAAAATAACTGGGTCCTACATCTTAAAGTAGGTCCAGGTGATTGGACAAATGGGTGCCCTCTCCCCCATCTCTGAACTGTAAGTGATGCATGCCCACCCACTATAATAACTGCAACAGATCTTCACTGTTGGCCTCTGAAATAGGCTAGGAAATGCTGATGGGTCTCAACAGAATGCTCAAGACATCCTTTAGAATTAAACTTATGCTTTTATGATTTAGTCAATACTTAAGTATATTGTTCACACACTGAGATAATGACATTATAGGTATCAAGCAGTCATGTAGCACTGTGGTTCCTTTTGTTTAGTTGATTTTTAAGAAGTCAGCAATACTAGATCTAACTACAAGCGACAGTCTGTCTTCCAGACACTTAAAATCAAAACCAGTCTCTGACTATAGTAATTTTTTTTTAAATGCATTGGAAGTTCTTGGATACATTTTTAACTGAAGTAGATGATGTAATGGCCTAAACTAAAGAAATAGGAAGACTAGTTTTAATCATTGCTCAAAGAAATGTAGCACATTTGACACTTAAATGCTAAATTGTAGTCTGGGTATAGTTCATATATAACACAGAGCTAGCACTGTGCAATGTTGCTTCTGTTTAAATAGTTATATGAAACTTGCTATCTCTGCCCTTATGTATCTCTTCAATGAGTAGGTCTGTAATCAGTCTCACTTGCAGCTAAGTCTTTTTAATAATCTTTGGTAATAGACAATTCTCCCCTCAGACTGTCCAGCTGGTATGGATGCAACAACTTGAATGAAACAAATTATCACTTTAAGTACATGAACTTCAATTATCACATTTAGAGCATAGGACACCTGTTGAAATGAAAGCTCCACTGACTCCCTGGGGAGTAGGGTCAGGCCTGTCACTAAAAGATAAGCTTTCACCTAAAACTTCATGTAGAGCGGTCTGACTACTGCCATGTAGTAAAATTCCAAGTCTTTTCTTAATGAAATGCCATGTAGACTTAGAGCAATATGAAGGCTTAAGATGAGTGACAGTTCAGTGTCTCTGGATGCTTGGAGTAGAGAAATTGTTTTAAATTAATTAAACACTAATCTTTAACTTTCGAAAGTGACTACGTAGTAACTACACAAAGCAAAGTTTATCTACCTTTTTGGCATGTGTATATCCAATTAGAATACATGCCTTGTTTTTAAATGGAAGACTATAGACCAGTATGAGTATCTTATCTGTAATTCTGACAAGCATAAGATCTGTTGTACTCAAGTTTTTCCTGGCTTGTTTTTTGGCTCATAAATACTGTAGTTGATCAATAAACACTTCATTGCAAACTCAGCTACTTCTGCTTGTCTCTTATACACACTTAAACCTTATGTTTTCTTAATAGCTTGGCTTGAACAGGTTCTGAGACCATTTTGTGTGCTGCATCTTCAACAGTAAGGAGGCATAACCAGTTTTTGAACTCCAGCAGCATGATCAAGAACAGACTTACTGTTAGTAGTGTAAGTAAATATAATCAGCTTTGGGGTTGTGGCTTTTTATTATTTGTACTGATATTAATGGGCTGGTCAAAGGTCTTGAGTAGAGCTAACCATTCTTCCATCCCACCCTCTCAACCTGGTGTAAACTCCAAAAGGTTGGAAAATATTTATTTATTAACATTCTGCTCTGAACAGTTCCTGCTCAATTTAAACCCTGCTCCTGAGGGAATCCACACTTACTAAACAGCTAGCATGGTCATACTACTTTGCCTAGAGGGAATGAATAAGACCAGCTATACTGGGTCTGACTAAAAGTCCATCTAGCCCAGTATCCTATAGGCTGCTAGTGGCCAATACCAGGTGTCCCAGAGCAAATGAGCATAAGAGGTGGAATCAAGTGATTCCTTCCCCTGTAACCCATTCTCAGCCTCTGACAGAGGCTAGAGACCCCATTCTTACCATCCTGGCTAATAAGCTTTAATGAGCCTAAATTCATAGAGGAGATCTAGCCCTATAAGTAGAGAAGATGCACTCTCCCCCACCTGCCTTGATAACAGCAAGAACTCACTAGCTCTGCTTCCACATTCATGGTGTCTAAATGGCCAACATGAAGTGGCTTAAAGTTGTAAACTTTAAGAAAGCGAGGCTAGTTCAGTTTTCTGACCGGATAAGCAAAGACTTCTCATAATATACTGATGGGCAAAAAACATCCAGCCAACACCACTAGTTTTAGTCTGTAAGATGAGCTGCTTTTTTGGTAATTATGTCCCATCTAGTTAGAACCCTGGTGTCTGCTACACCCCTCTGCTGTGTGATCAGCACAAGCAAGTGAATGGATTTAAACAGCAGGCTTCAATTTCATTAATTATACTGGGGGGAGGGACACTGTTACCAGGGGTGGATATATGGCACGGCACCTGGGGTGACCGTCCCAGGCCCTGCGCTTCAAGAAGCCCCATGCATGCACTGTGGCAAAGGGGGGCCCTGCAAAATTGGGCTTCCTGGGCCCCACAAAATGGCCATCTACCCCTGACTGTTACCCACCTCAGCTTTCATGTATCAAGCATTTAATTGGTTCTAGTGCAGTTTACGGGCTTCCCCATTAAGGCTCACAAAATGAGGTTTAACTCTTCTTGGTCTACCTTATAACCTCACCCCACTTGTGAAGCCTTTTCCCTCATGTACTGAGGGGCCACCAGGTGAGGCAAAGGAAACTTCAGTCCATAAAAACTTGAACTGCCTCTGCCTTCTCCTTAAAACACAAGATCCAAGCAGGCAAAATTGGGTATGTTAGCCTTTACCTGTGCTGGCTACAGGAAGAGCTAGTGATTTAGTGTGGCTGTACTCTACACCCATCATGCCTGGAACCCCTCTCTCTTGCTTTATCCTAGTCTCAAGTCTATGGAGCCAAATGTTAGTCCTAGCATCTGCTAAACTCCATCCTTGTAAAGAGATCAGGGCAATTGTATCTCATACCACAGTCTTCTCCCTCTTCTCATCCTCCAGAAAAATTCTTGATTAGCCTGGCTACTTTCTGGGTCATATTTGTTTCTTGCCATGTTGACATGGGCTGACTTAATGACTCCTTCTCCCTCTAGCTCAGCTTGTGAACATACCTAACCTAATTTAATGAAGGGTGAGGCCACATTAAAATAACTCCACATCTCTCTGTATTCTAGCCTGTAAATTTAATCCAATGCACTACCTAAGATCATGTGCACCTAAGTGAATAATCTCAGGACATCAGACCATTCATAAATGCTGGACTTGCTCACGCTCTGCCTACACTATCATCACTGGCAAATAGCTTCAGTCTTGAAGCTCAGAGGCAATCCACTGTCTGATGTCCAATCTTAATCTAACATTACAGGCAACATCAAACAGCACTAGGACCAGATCTTCCCCTGAGTGCCATACTGTTGAAAATAAATGGCTTCAGCCTTTCAGGGTACTTTGTATCTGGTTGATATCCAGCCATAATTAACTGCTTTATCAGTGAGCAGTGGGACCAGCTCATACTTCATCTACCATACTAAGAGTTGCTCTCATAGCATGCCTTTCCTTTGACACTAATGAACTTGTACCGCTTTGACCGTGAAGCTCCCCAGCAATGCATCTGCAGCCTTGGCAGCATTCTTAGAGTGCATAATGCAGTGCCTGCAAATCTAAACACTTTACTATGCTGTGGGTATCCTCTAGTACCTGACCCAGATGGTCAGTTATGCTTTCCTTGAAGGCTGATGTAAACCCTGTAACAACTTGATTTCCAGTGCCCTGTAGACTGAAACTTGTCAAAGTCAAAACTCTCAGGTGCTGCTGGAGTCAGTGCCCTGATCCTGAAAGAACATACAAAAGTTAGCTGGTATGAGACT